GAAATCAAATGCTCTGCTACCAATTTGATAGGAAAGAGTTGAACTTCCACAGAGATTAGGAGAAATGTAATATTTTATTTTACTAAAACTAAACAACACAACCCAAATACATGAAGGATAAACACCTACATTCGAGAGGAAGGTGATTTCCCCTAAACTCTAACATTTAGATTTAGGGCAACAATCACACATAACATAACACATTCTTAAACATATTAGCTCTATGTATACCTCACGATAATAAATGACAAATGATTAACTTGCCTTTTTTAATCTTTCGTCTAACATAAGTCTTCAAGCTATTATGGTGGGCTCGACATTGATTCATTGGAGCATGAGGCAGATGATGCCGTTGGCACAGATCTAACATACTCCTTTGTTTTTTCTTACTATAATGGACTAAATACAAGAGTCTATATATATAAAAAATAGAGAACTGTTGACCGGTGACTAACAAGAACATAAAAGGAAGAGAATAAAGAGGGGAGTTTCCTTGATTTTGAGTATATTTTACAAACATAAATCTCCTTTTTAATTCACTATTCCTTTCTAATTTAGCACATTCCTATGATAGCACAAATAATTTTAATTTCATTTGAATTTGTACTATACTCAATTTTCAGATGCCGAGAAGTCATGTAATGCATATAAATATAATGGAAGTTTAGGGGTGAGTAGACGTCCTGGCTCAGAGTCAGCAGTTAGTTCTGGAGGATGCAAAGCTGGCAATAAAATGTGCGCAAGCGTGAAAAAAATTGGTTTTCAGCCGAAAATCAAGGCTTGTGATATATGCTGCAGTGAATCTGGTTTTTGCCGTGATTGCTGCTGCATCCTGTGCTGTGGGTGTGTTGATTCTGCTCGTGGAGGATTTAGCTTCATTAGATGCCAGGCAATACTGGAGAAAGATCTTTCATGTGGGCATGTTGCTCATATTGACTGTGCCCTTCGTGCTTATATGGCTGGCACTGTGGGAGGAAGCATTGGTTTGGATGCGGAGTATTATTGTAGAAGATGTGATAATAAAACAGACCTTATACAACATGTCATAAAGATGATGGAAATTTGCAAATCTTTTGATTCCCCTGATGATATTGAAAAGGTTCTGAATTTGGGCTCTTGCATTCTCTTTGGCTCGGAAAAAGTTAGAGCAAAGAAATTGCGTTATTCCATCGGAACAATCGTGTCAAAGGTACTAAGCTGCAAATTTCTTTTTTGTTTACTGAATAATACATAGAATATCTTGGCTACTCATGTCTTTATATCTGATATTAATGTATTTCAGTTTCTCAACTAGACTTTTGAATGTTTGATATTTAATCCAGCTTAACCTTGGAATCAGTCTTACTGATATCTGGAAAGCAGAGAATGACTTCTTAACAGTTTCCGCAGGTCAGTTTAGTCAGCCTTGACTTTTAGATTCTAGCTCAGATGCATTGTTATGCCTTACTATTGTGATGCAGAGTCCGGTAAAATTTGACGATAGTGTTTACATTTTATGCTGGCAAGTATCCTTGTTGAGCTCTTAAGGACCTGCTATTTGCATCAGCTAGCGAGTAATTTTAAACCCCATATAAATTCTTTTTTCAAATCATCTCTTGATTGCAATATGACCTGCACTATTCTAGCTTTGAGATTTGTTACATAAAAGTCATCTGTGGTAGCATCGAACTTGAATTTTTGCACCCTTTTGGCAAGAAAAGTTGTTCTTTTTTTTGCCATTTGAGTAAACTCACGATCCAATCATATATGACTTCAAAAACAGAAAGCTACTTTGTTCACACCTATATCTGCTTTGAAGCAT